GCATAAAAAAAAAATCAAATTTCAGTTCCGATTTATCTTAAGGTTTTTGATTTTCGCAGAAAAAAAATGATATTTTGGTAGTGTAAAACAAGTCGAAGAACAAATAAATAGCGGTGCGCACCAGGGTATCCGGTGCGATCATGCGTTTTGCTGGTTCCATCCAGCGAGCGTTTGCCTGCTAAGGATTTTCACTGCTTTGCACTTTGGTCTGTGCACAAATAGTTGAAGTGTTGTCCACTTCCTAAGTCCACTTTCCGAATAAAAACTTCTCGCATTGTTACGCGGAAACTGAATTTGAAACTTTGCTCTTCCAAATTTCAACCCTCTAATTCTGTGGGTTTTGAGTGATCTTCGAACCAAAATTTATATGTAGTCGTGCGTGAGACCTCGGCATGCGTGGGAATTAAATTTGCAAACACCCTCCTGGAATCTTCAGCCTCCTACCTCTTCTGGCTTCCGAATAATAATTCTTCCCACCAAAACATTCACAAGGACGTTGAGACCCAGGCATACCTGAAAGCTGAATTTGAATTTGCAAGATCGCATGTGAGCGGAGGACAATAACCTAAAATTTTAGATTCCCAACTTTCGTGGTTCCCAAAACAACTTCCTCCATCAAAACTTTCACAGAGTTGTGCGCAGTACCCAGACTTACGGGGAAGGTAAATTTAAAGTTGTGGAGTTGTATCTGGGCAGGGGACATTACCGTAAAATTTTAGCTCCCTATCTTTTGTGATTTGTGAGGTAATAATTTCCCCGCCAAATTTTTTGCTAGGCGGCACATGATACCTGAGTGTGCGGAAAGGCTGAATTTAAATTTGCGGGGTTGTATGTGGGCAGCACACATTACTGCAAAATTTCAGCTTCCTGGCTAGTAATTTCCCCCACCAAAACATTGGCGGGATCGTACGTGGTGTCCGCCGGAAGTGAAAGCCGAATTTAAGTTTTCGCGGTTGCACATGGGCGGTGAACGTTCTGCCAAAATTGCAGTGTCTCAGTTTTTGTGGTTCCCAAGATAATAATTTTCCCCATCAAAGCTTTCGCGGGTCATACATTGTTACCGTAGGTAAG